TGTCATGTATTGTTATCTCAAAATTATGATACTTACAACATGGCGTGAATGCAGCTTTAGCTCCAACCTGAATTAAACACACCTGAACCAGAGTTTAGCTCCAACCAGCTAAAATACACTTGCGTGGACGTTTGTGCATGTGGTCTCATTTTGAATGCTGCGCCTTCTGAAGATCACATTTGTCGGCCTTGTATGTCATTGAGGATGTCTCATTTCAGAAAAGTAATCATTATAAAATATACTGTTATTTCTTTTGAGACATACATTACTGTCATTTTTTTCTTATTTGGAATGTAATGTTACTTTTCTGAAATAAAGCTGCCTCAATGAATTATGCAGCCAACAAATGTGACTTCCAGAGGACGCAGCCTTTGAAATGAGAGACAACAACCACAAACTTCCAGGCAAGTGTATTCAAGCTGGTTGGAGCTAAACTCTGCAGGACATTAGCCCATCAGTAGCATGATTGGACATCCTTGGTCTAGAAAACCTGGCCAAGTTTGTTTTCAGCTGGTTTAGTTGGTTGGCCAGCACTTGACAAGTGGCCAAAACCCTCTAAACCAGCTTAGACTGTTTTGTTTTTACATCGGAGAGATTGTTGGCAAAAATGTTGTTTGAAAACTTTTCGAACTGAATGTTATATTCATGAAAATTATATGATGTTTCTCCTCAACATTTTGTGTTGTATTAGAAGAACGTTGCATTAAGTCAGTGTGATATGCAGTTTCTCCCTGCCATAGACAGCTGGCTCTTAGGGATTAGTGTCAAAATGCCAGGTCACTATGTAATAGAATTCTCTCAAAACAGCCAACAGAGGCAGCCTTCGAGACAATGGCAATAACAATGACAGTGAAAGAGACACAATACCTCAGACGTTTACAGAGAGGCATTACCATTTCAGCTCCAGCTTGCGAGAAAACCTCAGGATTCAAGAACTCAGCCTCCAAGACAAGTCGGCACTCTGGGAGGTCACGACTGCCAGGAAGAGAGGTGCAGCCCTGGGATGCTTTATGTAGATCAGCTGGGACGGAGCCATTTGTGGTGTAAGCCTGGTTTATAGGGTTGAGCGTGGAATAGGGTTTAATGCTGCACCAACTGGTGTTTGTGGAACTGACTTGTTCGGATTCCAAGACACAATTTCTATGTTCGGTTGCCAAGCATGGTTACCTCCCAGAGCCAAACCATCCGAGCAGACCTTCTCAAAAACAATTCTGTAATGAATTCATATCAATTTTAATGATGTTTGTGAAAGGATAAGCTTATGATCAAAGAAGCTATTTGCCTGGTAGAATGGGTGTCAACTGTGTGGTGTTGTGAAACATGGACATTCAGAGTTATGAGCATGGTAAAATAAAGCAGTAAGCTTTAATAATTAAAAAAAAATTTTTTTTTCTTTATTTCTATTCAGATTATTTTAATTTTATTTTTTAGTAATTTTAGTTAGTTGCCAGTTTTATTTGTCATATAATTTTCTTAATGATAATAGCGGCAATCATTTAAAAAAAAATAGTTTTGACTCTTTGTTTAATCTAAAACTTTCTTTTCCCCCCTCTACTACACTGAATAATTCATACTTTTTTGTATTTTATGCATTATTTTAGGTAGTTTAAAACTGTATTAATGTATTATATATGTATATATTCTCTGAGAATACATTTATTGCCTATGACTTTTAGAATACGACAACAAAAGCAAAATAATAAGACACAGATGTTTAAAGAAAAATATGAATGTCTAATAATGATAATGATTGGTAAAAAAAAAAAAAAATCTGCCAAGTAGTTAACAGTAGATAACAGTAGGCTGCTTGCCAAGCTATGTAGCAACATTAATGTACAGTCATTTACATACTTTTTTTGTTGGTTTTGTACAGCAGCTTCAAACATGGGACATTTGAACTATTATTAAATAATTTTTTAATGCAGGTTGATATTCTGAAGTGCAGTTGCACAGTTCATAGAAAGAGAAAGTAAAATATAATCAGCTACAAGATATTTCTACATAACCATTTTAGAAGCATGGGATAAATGCTTCTGTAATTCAAGGCTTTAAAATGAACATCCTTGGATCATACACTTATTTCTGAAACGTGATAGAATTTTTATGTAGCTGTTAATAATTCAGTGAAACATCATTTTGCTCTTTTAAATGTCAAAATCAAACGGCATCTTTAATAGGTCCGTTACACTTGTTTTATCCCTTTTAAAGAGCATGGCAAAGATTTAAATCCTGGCTTTTCATTTATTCTAACCAAAAACTTCAGCAGTTCACAAATATTCAACAGAAAGACTAATGATTCTAATTAAGAGCAACTGTCTGGCAATCACTATCTGATATAATGGATTTTTTTTTTTCTAATGTTCTTTGGGTGTCAAACCACTGCATTTGATGTGCCTTATGCTGGAAACAACCCTTACATCAATCCCATTCCTATTAGCATAGAGCCAGAGAATAGATGAGACATTTTAGGACTTCTAGGCAAAGAAGTCTTACTCCATACTGACAACCAGGGTTTGAAATTAACTTTTTCACTCACCAGCCAATTTGGCTACTACATTTTTAAGTTACCGGCCATTCATAATTTCTACTAGCCAAAAAAATGTATCAAATAAATTATGAAAAAAAGGCCAGAGGTAAGCCAACAGCTTAAGGCTGTCCACACTGGATGCGACAAAGTGACCATTGCAAATCATTTGTACTTTGTCAAACAGTAGGCCTACGTCATAAATAGAACGAGGCATCAGTTTACTGTCGGGGATTTGTCGTGCTGTGCTGTGCCACATCCAGTGTAGACCGCATCACCGATTATAATGGTTTCTATAGTATTTTGTCGCTGTGACGAGTGGGGGCGGGGCCGAGAGCCGTGGGAACGGAGCGAGGACGGTGGAGTAATTGATAATGAGCGACACCTGCACCACTCACCGGTCTCGAGTCTCACG